GAAAGAGCACATCCTCTTTTATGCAAATTTGCATGATGTGACTTGGAATTCGGGCGATTTAAAACTATTTTAAAAAGCCTTGCCGTATGCTCAGATTTGAAATAATACAGAACTTTCCTTTACATTTTATCCCTCTGGGAAATTTCGTCTTGAATTATGCATAGCTTCGGGGATGAATCCTTTGCAGGAAATTGGCCAAAGCTGATCTGCTCAGCCGGGAGGGGACAGGGGCTCAGTTACCACTGAGAGAGGGGCAGGAGCTCAGTGAACACTGCCCTCCCCACTGGGGCCTGTGTCTCTCACAGGAACCCAGATGCTGCGTAGGGTTTTTGTGGTTATTGTTGTTTGGTTGTGGGGGGGGGGGGTTCTTGCCAGTTCTGAGACTTGAACTCAGGACCTCACACTACTCTGCCTTAGTTTTTTTCTGTTCATGGCTGAAACTCTACCATTTGAGCCATACCTCTACTTCTGCCTTTTGGGGAGCTAGTTAGAGCTAAGGGTCTCACGGAGTTTCCTGTCTGAGCTGGCTTTGAACAGAGATCCTCAGATCTCGGCCTCCTGAGTAGCTAGGATTAAGGGTTGTGAGGCACCCTGCTTAACCTGGCAGCTTAAGTGGTGTGTGTGTGTGTGTGTGTGTGTGTGTGTGTGTGTGTGGTGGGGCCTGGGCACTGTCCCTCAGCTCTTCAGCTCAAGGCAAGCGCTCTACCACTTGAGCTACAGCGCCACTTCCAGTTTTCTGGTGGTTCATTGGAGATAAGAGTCTCTCGGCCTCTCCCGCCCGGGCTGGCTTTGAGCCTCGATCCTCAGATCTCAGCCTCCTGAGTAACTAGGATGACAGGCGTGAGCCACCAGCACCTGGCTCTTTTTTTTTTAAGCTTTGAACTCAAAGACTACTTGCTAGGCAGGTGTCCCACACCTCCAGCCCTTAGCTAATTCGTCTTTTTTTAATTTTAAAACTTTTTTGTACATGTTTTATTGTGAAAATACTGCACAGAGGGGTCACAGTTACATGAGCAAGGAAATGAGTCCATTTCCTATGGAGCATTGTTGCCTCCTCCTTCGTTTTTCCCCTACTATCCCTTCCCTCCCCATCTGCACAACTACTCCCCCCCACACACACACATACCCCAGCTAAGAATTCTTGCCCAGGTCCCTCGGCTGAGACCCCCCTCCCCAATCCATACCATACAAAACTGCTCAGCCCCAGACCAGGCATCTTTCCTGACCATCCAGTATTGAAACTCAGCAGGAACCGGGTGGGGAAACTGAGGCTGGGGCTGAGGACACACAACCACGGGGTCCGTTGTGTGTGGGAGTTGCATTTGAACCCACCTTTGGCCACATTTGGAGAACCCACATTTGGAGAACAGGCCACCAGGGGGCGCAGGAAGGACACCGACCGTCCCTGTGGGATTTGTGATCCTGGGCAGGATGCTGTCAGATGGGCTGTGACCAGGTGACCTCCTCGGGGAAGGAGGGGGTGGTGTACACACGGGCGTATTTTATAGATGCAACTGGTGTTGTGCAGTGAAAAGCCAGGCCAGGAAAGGCAGCTGAGTCTCACCTTGAGCACTGCTCTCTTTTTCTGAAGGGACTATTTATTGAGCACCTACTGCATAGGCAGGTACCCAGGGAGAGACCGTGGGAATCTGGGGAAGGAGCCAGCCAGGCCGGGGACAGCCCAGGAAGGGGACAGGCAGGTTAGGAGGCCCAGGATGGAGAGCAGGAGAGACGGGGTGTCTGTCACCCTGAGAAACACAGTCATAGCACTAAGTGTCCCCTGGTAAGGACCTACCTTTCACCCTGTGTGACCTGGGAATTCATCAGGGGGACCCCAAGATTCCTCTAGACTTGGTAACTCTGTCTTAAATGAGCATGGCTCTGGGGCAGGCAGAGTGTGTGATTTACAAGCTCCCCCCCACCCCCCCGGAACTGGGAGTTTGGGGGACAGTTGTCTGCTTGCCTTGCTGGTGGCTGGTGCAATGGCGTTCCTCCACAGATCTAATCCCAGCCTCCTTCCTTAGTTCCCCCATGCCAACCCTCAAGGGAAGAAGAATGAGAACTACATACATCCACGCCTGTACCACACCGAATCATCCAGCAAAACGACTCCAGCGCCACCTTGGGGACCCCACTGGAGAAGGGAAGCGGGCCCCTCCTCCCACCCTCCCCCATCTGTCCACTGACATCCCACCCTCTCCATTCCTCCTGCATCTCAGGAGCAGTGGGTGCGGTTCTGGCCTGCTCTGCTGGTTCTAGAAGCTTCCATTCCGCCTGAAGAGCTGCAGGGCCTCCTTGCTGTCCCAGACACAGAGCTGGACATGTGTCCCACCACCTCCTTGACCCTGAATGTGCTTCAAGACCAAAGGGTGACCTGGTCCATAGGAGATGCGCTCCCACCTTTCCCCAGCCCTATCCAGGAACCGGAGAGAGGAGGTTCTGAGGCCCCTGTGTGGGGGCAGGGTGGGGGGGGCTCCAATGGGAGAAGCGAGGTTCCAGGAGGGACAGAGGGAAGCAGAGTCCCTCGGGATGTGAGCAAGGAAAAAAACGACTTCATATATTGAGTCACTGAAATCTGGGGTCCTTTGTGACTGTGTGGATTCTGTTCGAAGTCACCCGATGAGCTCCAGAATTCATTCACTCATTCTCCATCCACATCCAGTTGTTTGCTTATTCTTCATTCATGCATTGCTCATCCGTGCACTTAGTCATTATTCCTTCTTTCGTGTAGTCATTTTATCCATTCGGTCTTCTTTATTCTTCATTCATGACTCATTTGTTTATTAATTATTCCTTTTTGTTGTTGGTGGTGGTGGTGGTGGGACTTGAACTCAGGGCCTGGGCACTATACCTGAGCTCTTTTGCTCAAGGCTAGAGCTCTACCACTTTGAGGCACAGTTCCACTTCTGGTTTTCTGGTGGTTAATTGGAGATAAGAGTCTCACAGGGACTTTTCTGCCCTGGCTGGCTTCAAATCGTGATCCTCAGATCTTAGCCTCCCCCATAGCTAGGATTACAGGGATGAGCCACCAGTACCGGGCTAATAATTCTTTTTGTGATCATTCCCTCATTCTTCATTTATTGATCCTTCATCCATTTACTTCATTCTGCATCTGTTAGCCATATTCATCCCTCATTCATGTTCATTCATTCCTCCTTTATTGATTCAATGTTTCCTTCATTGATTCATTATTCTTAATCACTTTGGGGGTAGTTTATTGTTTGATTTTTAGACCCGAGATCAGGACTCAAACTCAGTATGTGACACTTTTGCTCCCTGGCTGGTGCTCTATCCACTGAGCCATGTGTCTAACCTCTTCTTCATTCTTCATTTTCATTCATTCATGATTCTCCATTATTCGCTCGATCATTGTCTATTCACCAAGCTCATGATAAAAAGCAGCATCTAGTTGTCTCCTTCAGGAAGTGCAACCATCTGGAGAAGGAAGCAGGGTGAGCCTGGTCTTCAGATGGAAAAACTGAGGTTCCAAAGCACAAGCAGCCTGCTGGAAGGCAGATTGCAGGCCCCAATCAAACTCCTTGAGCCAGCATTCGCTGTGCGCCTCACATCACACGCCGCAGCCCTGACCTCTCCCACAGTTCCACAATGGCGTTGTCCTTCCTCTTTACAGATGAGCAAATGGAGGCACCTAGAGTCTGCTCTCCTGCTCCCAAGAGGGAAGATAGGAAGAGGCAAGAAGGGAAAGATGGGGCTATGAAAAAAAATGAAAGCAATAGAGTTGGAACTAGGAAGTAAATATCACCTGTCCTTCCTGTCACAATGAATAAACAAATCAATCACTTTCTACCTCAAAATGCCAGCTTGCCTCAAATCAGAGAGACCACACACACACACACACACCTCCACAAAGGTTAAATCCATTATGAAATAATAAAACATATGGCCACTCAAATCTACATTCATTACATGTAATTAGAAGTGACAATCAAGTACATGCCAAAACCCAATTGCTGCCGCCTCTCCTCTCCCGGGGAGGGAGCGTGGCCAATGTTGGTGGCTCTGTTGCACTGAGTTGGAAAGATGGGGCTCCCCTTCTCTTGATGCAGTGTTGGGGTGACCTCTCTCCTGTGAGCATCTCACTTGCTGCTGCCGGTAAAGGGCACCCCATGACCAAGAAGGTGTGGAAAGCCTCTTCTAACTAGGCTGGTGCCATTGATCAGTGTCTGGGGAGACAACGGGCAAACTACTGGATCTAACATCAAATAGAAAACCCCAGGATGTTTTCACCAGCAAGATTCCACCAAAAGACCTCCTGGGTCTGATAAACACACCTGGCAACGGAGCGGGACATAAAAATCAACTCTCAAAAAAAAAATCAATGCTTTTCTATCAACCGACAATGAGAAGGCCAAAGAAGAAATGGGGAAAACAACCTCCCTTCAATAGCTTCAGAAGCAATAAAGTACTTAGTTATACACTTAACCCGACTTAGTTATACACTTGACCTGGGCGGTGAAAGATCACCACAAGAAAAACTAGACAACTAAAAACCCTGAAGAAAGAAACACAAGAAACCTGGTGCAGGTGGCTCACACCTGCAATCCCAGCTACTCAGGAAGCTGAGATCTGAGGACTGAGGTTCGAAGCCAGCCTGGACAGGAAGGTCCATAAACCTCTTATCTCCAATTAACCATGAAAATGAAGGGGAAAAAAGCCACAAATGGAGCTGTGGCTCAAAGTGCCAGAGTGCTAGCCTCGAGCAAAACAAAATTAAAGCTTAAAAAATGGCTCAGGGACAGTGCCCAAGCCCTAGGTTCAAGTCCCAGGACCAACACACACACACACACACACTTCTGAGTATGTGATTTTCTGCACTCGATCGTAGATGCAGAAGCTGGTTAACAAGGTGGGTCTAAGAGGCTTTAAAGAGCCTTTAACTTGCAGACTGAAGCCAGCAGCAACAGCTCCCGTCCTGATTGGTCGGCCCTCCTGCCTATCAAAGGAGGGCGGGGCCACGGCATCGATCGAGCGATCGGCGCTCTCCCAGGCACTCGGACCTGACCAGACGAGGAGTGAGTGATCGATCCTCTTTCGGCACCGAACCCGGAGAGCTCAGACCCATCGAACAGGCCTGCGCCAGCTTTCGGGGAGAACCAACACCGTCCAAACAGAAGAGAAGGTTAGTGGGCGAAACTCGGAAGCGCGGGTTCTATAGCTCGGGCTCCTTACAGAACGGTAGTGCGATGAGGGAACACTGCGCATGTGCTCCGTCAGGGTCGGTCTCGCGCGTGCGCGGGATGGTGGGGGGGGGCGGTGAGTGGAGGGTGCGCGTGCGCGCGCACCCTGGATCCGAGCATGCGCCGTAGCTTGCGGCGCTCGGGCTCCGTATCCCAGGACAGCCGTCTTGCGCGTGCGCAGTTCCACTCCCGCGGAGGGAGGAGGGGGTGCTGAGTTGTTTGTGCGCGTGCGCAGTTCTTGGTATCGGCTTCGTGGGTCTCCAACGCGCCTGCGCGGTCCCAATGTCTTCGCAGCTCCTGTGCCCACAGGCCTAGGAGGTAGATTCGCGGGAAACACGTGTGCCATCGGCCCTCAGACGGGCCCCACGACCGCAGGGGGCCGGGGGGGGGGGAGGCCTGCACGAGGCAGGTCCTGGGGCAGGCCAGAGGGTCCCCATATCCGCTTCCGGGTCATGTCCTGTGACCTCACCCCCCCCCACACCCTCCCCAGGCTCCACCTCCCATAACTTAACCCAGGGCCTTTGGGGGTGACTTGCCCCAAGCTCAGACCCACAGCCCCTCTGGAGTGCAGGCCACAGGCTGGCCCCTGCTTCAGACGCCAGGGAAACTGAGGCAAGCCGGGGCTTGACCTGGAGAAGAGGCACATGGGTGGGTATGTGAGGGAAGAGCAGCCCCCGGCCTGGGGGGGGGGGACACAAAACCCGCTTGGGAGAATCTTGGCAGCGTCCTCAGCCGGGGATCTTTTCCGATGGGCCTGGAAGGTTGAGTAGGAGTTGGCCAGGCAGAGGAGGAGACCATGCTGACTCTCTTGTCTTCCCTTCAGGCAGTGACGTGACCCCATGGCAGAGGACGGCGAGGGTCCTGGGGACCCCCCGGCCAGCACCGATGCCCTCTGGGAGGCCCTCTGGGCCCTCCTGCCCCACACTGAGGAGGAGCTGGGCTTGGAGCTGGGCGCGCCGGTGGACCCCAGCGCGGCGGGGCTCCTGCGGCAGGCCGCGGGGCTGCTGTACGCGGGCCGGCTGGACGCGTGTCTGCAGGCCAGCGAGGCCGTCCTGGACTACGCCTGGGAGAAGCTCAACACCGGGCCGTGGCAGGACGTGCACAAGGCCTGGCGGCAGGTCTACACCTTCGCCTGCCTCTTCAAGGCCCTGTGCCTGTGCCGGGAGCCCAGGGAGGCCGGCGCCACCGCCGCCGCCCTGCACGTGTGCGACCTGGGCCTGCTGATGGGGGCGGCCGTCCTGGGGGACATCCTCATCCAAGTGGCCGCCGTGCTCCAGGCCCACCTGCCCGCCAGAAAACGGCCGGCCCCGAGCCTCCAACAGGACCCACCCGACACAAAGGTACAGCCAGGGGACACAGCGCCCTGGAGTGAGACCGCGAGGCCAGAGAGGAGGATCGAGGTCCGAGGCCAGACCAGCCAAGAAGTTAGCAAGGTCTCACTCATCTCAGCTAACAGTCAGGGCATGGTGGAGTGTGCCTGTCATCCGGGCACACATGAGGCACAGGTTTACCGGGTGGGGACGGGCTGCTGCTACCAGGGTCTCCGAGGTGGGTGCAAAGACAGGAATGAGAAGACTTTGTTTGATGGTGGACCCTTGGAAGACGAAATTTCCCTTCATTGGAGAATTTCCATGGGAGCCACGTGTTATACCATGGTTTATGTGTTACATTCCTGTTTTCACGAAATGAGAAAGGGAGCGGGAAGACCTTTGTCTCACGAGACCAATTGGTAGCCGTAGGAAAGATCATCTATTGCCAGGCATGGTAGCACATGCCTGTAATCCCAGCTCTCAGGAGGCTCTCAACTTTGAGGGCAGCCCAGGGTAGGAGGGTGAAGCCCCAGGTCAGCACAGTGTTAGAGTCCTAGTCTGGTATGAGAAAGGTCCCGGGTTCAATCCCCGGGGACCGGCCTCCTCACTGATGGCCTCTGGTTTTATCTTTCCGGAACGATGCATCTCGCTCCATTTCATTGTCCACAGAAACCGAGAGGCAGCCTAGTCCCAGCAGTGCCCCCCGAGAGGGCGGTGCCCCGCCTCCACCGACCGGCCCTCCAGCACTTCCGGACCCACTTTCTGCTGCCCAGGAGGCCCGTGATCTTGGAGGGTGTGGCCGACCACTGGCCCTGCATGAAGAAGTGGAGGTGGGTCCCACAGAGCCAGCCATCCCCAAGACGCCCAGATTCCTGCCCACAGCACCCACAAGCCATTGCCGCTCTCCACCAAAGGGGCTAACCAAGAAATGACCCAAGGCTGGACACACTGGCTCACACCTGAAGCACAGCTCCTCCGGAGGCAGAGACAGGGAGACTCTCGGTTTGAGGCCATCCCAGAGTAAGAGGCCAGTCCCCGAGCCCAACCCCCAGTTAAAAGAAGTGAGACCCTATCCAAGACACAAATAACAAAGCACAACAAGGACTGGAGGCGTGGCTCAAGTGGCAGAGTGCCAACCTCGCAAGCAGTCACTCAGCCCAGGGTTCAAAGCCTCTGTCACACTCTTAAAAAAAAGACCAGGGAGCCAGGTGTGGGGGGTCTGTGCCAGGGTTATTAGACTCGCCTTCCGCGGGCCGCTGGCCCAGTGTGAGATTTTATGGAACCCCCTCACGGACACCTCGGGGTGCAAGCCTCCGTTGGGCATTTTTACAGAGCCTTAAATTCCTCAGCCTCAGTGGCTCACGCCTGTAATCCTAGGCTTGAGGCTGAGATCTGAGGGCATGCCTGAGTTCAGAGACACCCTCCCCACACCTGCCATTCCGCCCCCCCCCCTTAGCTCAGTGACAAAAGAAAAGGGGGTGTGGGGAGGGGGGAAGGGAAGAATTAGAATCTCGCCACCAGGGGGCAGTGCTGAGCAGCACGCATGCCCAACTGGGTGGTAGCTCTGCAGCCTGGCCAGGCCCCCTGCCCCCTCTGTGCCCAGGGCCATGACGGCTGTGTCCACGCCCCTGTGTCGGACAGCCTGCAGTACATCCGGGAGGTGGCGGGCCACCGCACCGTGCCCGTGGAGCTGGGCTCGAGATACACGGACGAGGACTGGTCGCAGACCCTCATGACAGTGGACGACTTCATCAGCAAGTACGTGGAGCGCGAGGTACGCCCGACCCCCGTGCCGCCCGGGCAGGGAGTCCCTGAGGTCCAGAGCCGGGAAGGACTTGGTTCAGCACCTTTAGGACTTGGTTCAGCACCTTTCCACCCTTGGGTTGGATCCGATTCAGTGAGGTTTAGTCCATAAGATCGTGCAGTCATCATCGTTACCCAATTCTAGAATGTCCTCCCCACCCTTGCTGATGTCCCTCGCTCCTGTGAGCCACACTTTTTGGTTGGTGTGGGGAATGCCGCTTGAGCCCCGCTCTCCCGTGTGCAGGGTTGCAGGTGTGCGGGAGCTGGCTGGCTGTTGGCTTACACAGCAAGCCCATGTTAATTCTAAGGGATTCCAGGCGGGCTTCGAGCACGTGTTCTTGCAGGCCTCGTGGCGGTGAGGGCGGTGGCCGGGGTGTCAGGGTGTAGAGCCCCGACCCGTGTCTGAGTCATGTCATAGGTTGAGAGGAAGGGAGCCTGTCGTAGGCACAGATCCTTAGAGCAAAGGACGCCCACCATGATCTGGGGGTCCTTGCAACATGAGGTTCTATATACCCCCCCCCCCCCCCCCCAAGTATCCCAAGCACAGACATATGAGGGCTGGTTTAGCTTGAACTTCTGACAGGTCTGAGGATTGAACTCAAGCAAGTGGTCTACCATGTGACCCAAGTCCTCCATCCCTTTTTTTATTTTGAACATTCGTGGGCCTTGAACTCAGGGCCTAGGGGCAAACCCTGAGCTTTTCTAGAAGCTCAAGGCTAGCGCTCTACCACTCGAGCCACAGCGCCACTTCCAATTTTCTGGTAGTTCTGGCAGTAAGAGTCTCATGGACTTTCCTGCCCAGGCTGGCTTTGAACTGCGATCCTCAGATCTCAGCCTTTCTAGTAGCTAGGATTACAGGCTGTGTCGAATCCCATTTTTATTGAAGAAAATAAGACAAGATTGGTAGCAGGGTGCTGGGGAAGTAATGGAGTCACTGCTGGGGACAGGGCCGCAGTTTCAAGTTTGGAAGATGGAAAGCGTGGTTTTACCCACATGAGAGTTCTTTATGCCACTGAACTTGGAAAGGACTGTTACAGAGGTACATGTGGCCAGGCGACCGTGGCTCACGCCTATAATCCCAGCTGCTCAGGAGGCCGAGATCTGAGGGTCACCATTTGAAGCCCGCCCAGGCAGGAACATCTGTGCGACTCATCTCCAGTTGACTACCAAAAAGCCAAAAGTCGCGCTGTGGCTCAAAGTAGGAGAGCACCAGCCTTGAGTGCTCGGGGACAGCGCCCAGGTCCTGAGTTCAAGCCCCAAATACATGAATACATAGGTACATTTTATATGCTGGATGTTTCGCCACAATGTTTAAACGTTTGTAAGTGGGAGAAGAGGCGAAAGCCCTGGCCTGTGTGCATTGCCTCAGCTGACCTGGAGGTAGCGCTCTGGGCCACACGGGCTCCACATAGCAGGCAGGGGGCAGCGGTGGGGGGGGGGGGGAGGAGAATGGTGGGGAGGGGGGGGGGGGAGCGTGCACGGCAGGCCTGGGCCTCCCGCCTTCCAGTCCCAGGCCAGACCAAGTGGCTGAGTAGCACAGGGTGCAGCCCATCCATGGGTGGCAGAGGGGCCGGGCCTGGGTCACAGAACCCCCCTGAATGGCAGCCAGCGGGAGCCCCGACACCCAGCCAGCCTCCTGACACCTGCTTCTGTCTCAGACCACGGACGTCGGCTACCTCGCTCAGCACCAGCTCTTTGAGCAGGTGAGTGACCTGCGACCCCGCCCATGCCCTTTCCCCACCCTCCTCCCTCTCCATGCAGCCGTGGGCCCTGAGTGGGGCCCTGGTCAGAGGGGCCGGGCCACGGCGTGTCACTCAGCCACTGTGTCCACTGCTGGCCCCGGGGCTCGGGGCCCTCTCTCCCCGCTCTGCCCAGGGTCCGGGCCCAGCTGGGCTGTGCCAGAGGCCGGGGAGGGGGTCACCCCACATCGGGACATGCGCATCCTGCCCCCCCTTTTCCCTCCCACTGCATAGAGATAAAGAGGTTCCAGTGTGCCCAGAGGCACAGGCCAGGCCCCTGGGAGCCAGTGCGTCGTTCAGAAGAGAAGGAATGTTCTAGAACAGAGCAGTTATGCAGCCTGGGGGTTTCTACAGTGGTGACACAGAATTTTCTGAGAGTCAGGAAACTAAAGTTCCCTCCAAACTGGTCCCCAAGAACCTCTCAGTGGCTTTCCCCGTGGGGGACCCCACCTCCTTAGCTTAAGACTCCCCAAACCTGCGCCACACTAGCCCTGAGCACAGAAGCTCAGAGACAGCGCCCAGGCCCTGAGGAGTAGAGTCTCCAGTGTCCCCCCCCCCTTTCTGCACACACATGCATGCACGCATGCACGCACGCACACATACACGGCAACAGAGTGCAGGCTTTGCGTGTGTGCGGCTGTCTGTCCAGCCGGCTGAGCCTGGCTAGCCTCCGCCTCCCCGTGGCTCCGATGCCCACAGGTACCGGAGCTGAAGCAGGACATCGGCATCCCCGACTACTGCTGCCTGGGGGACGGGGAGGAGGACGAGATCACCGTCAACGCCTGGTTTGGCCCCCGGGGAACCGTGTCCCCCCTCCACCAGGACCCCCAGCAGAACTTCCTCACCCAGGTGGGACTTGCCACCAGAGCACTGGCTTCCACCCGCCCAGCCAAAGGCCTGGCCACAGGTCCACTCTGACAAACCCCAAGCGTCTTCAAAGAAGAGTAGCACACACCTGTAATCCCAGCACTCAGGAGGCTGAGGCGGCAGGATTGGGGGTTCCAGGCCAGCCAGGGCTATGTGGTGAGACCCTGTCTGTGAGAGAAATGAGAGGCCCTGAGATGTGGCTGGAAATGGCCAGGACTGTCCAGTCCAGGACTGTTTCCGGATCACCCTTGCTTGGATTCTGGGACGGGGGTCTCAGGCCCTGGGCACTGCGCCTGACAGAGCTTTCCAAGTGAGGGGCTAGCGTTTTCTGAAGCAGAGTCTCACACACTTTCCTGCCCAGGCTGGCTTCAAACCATGCTCTTCAGATCTCAGCTTCCTGAGTAGCTAGGATGACAGGCGTGAGCCACCAGCCCCTGACTGAAGAGCCCTACGAGGTGGCTCACACAGGTAGTCAGCATGGTAGCCAGGAGCCGGATGGCTGGCGTGAGCCGCGGCGCGGTCTCTAACCACCTTTGTGAGCCTGTTTCCCTCTACACTGCGGGGTGAGGATGTGGCTGGCGCTCTGAGGTTCCAGGGGCGCCGCGAGCAGCATGTGGGGAGGTGTGGAGGGACACCAGGCCACTGACAGCCCCGCCCCGCAGGTGATGGGAAGGAAGTACATCCGGCTGTACGCCCCGCAGGACTCGGAGGCGCTGTACCCCCACGAGACGCACCTCCTTCACAACACCAGCCAGGTGCGCATGGGGGCTGGGTGGCACACGCCTCCCCGCCAGCCCCGGTGCGGGCTGGGTAGACAACTCGCTGTGCGCTCTGCAGGTGGATGTGGAGAACCCGGACCTGGAGAGGTTCCCCAAGTTTGCCGAGGCCCCCTTCCTGTCCTGCATCCTGTCTCCCGGGGAGATCCTCTTCATCCCTGCTAAACACTGGCACTATGTGCGCGCTCTCGACCTGAGTTTCTCCGTCAGCTTCTGGTGGTCCTAGCTAGACGAGCGAACAGCTGGACCGGCAGGACAGAGCCTGGGCACTGGGGAAGTCCCAGCTCTGGGGGACACGGTGGACATTCAGAGGGGTGCACAATCAGGACCCCCCAAGACGCGCCAGGTGGCCGACTCAGGCGGTGGCAGCCGAGGCCCAGCACGGCTGGCAGCCCTGCATGCAGCGCCCTGAGCCGCTGGGCTCTAACAGCCTCATGGCTGAGCTGCCGCGTGGCGTGGGTGTGGCTGCCAGCCACGCGAGATCACAGGACAACTAGATGTTACATCTGCTGTCATATTGTCTATTTCAGCGTGAATTTCAGTCACGTAAGTGAAAAGATAGGATGTGATTTAAAGTCATTTGTTGAACCCACCCCCTGCTGCCTATGCAGGGTAGTGGGGGGGGGGAGGTGGGGGAGGAAAGCTGGGGGCTCATCCAGGTAAGGGCACATGTGCAACCCACCCAGACAGACAGACACCACACACAGCCAGGGCCCGGCGTGGGAACTATGGAGGCGGCCCTGGAGAAGGTGGGCAGGCCTCAAGGCTGCAGTCTGCACTGAGGGCTGGGGAGCGGCAGGGTGAGCTACACAGGGCCCGCACACAGCCAGGAACCGAGGCCATGGGGGAGGGCAGCTGCTTGCTCCAGGAGCTATACACCACCTTCTGTAGTTGATAGAGGGGGCCATGGCTGCCTGGCTGCAGTTCACCCCGCAGCCTGCAGAGGGCACACCAGGCACTTTCCCAGCTGAAGGATGTGAGCGGCAGCCCCTCTCCCCCAGCCTTTGAGGTGCCCTGCATTTTGCCCAGGCTGCTGCCACTGGGCTGTGGGGGAAAAGCAGCAGGCCTGGCTGCATGGAACAGCTCTGAAGCTCCACACCCGGGGCCTGGTGGCTGTGATCTCTGCCTGGGGCAGGTCCGGGTGGCCAGGCGCGGCCAGCAGCGCTTCCTGAGCCGCCACTCGGAGCTGAGAGGCATGAGGACCGTCTGTGGGCTGCGCGAGGCCTGCTCCGGGCCACAGCCTTGTGCCAGCCACTGGGCAGGGCTGAACCAGGTAGGGCCTGTCCTGTGCCACCAAGACGGTGCCAGAAATGCCAGAGCTGGGCCACAAGACAGGAGATGGCAATGGATGGAGTAATGGGGACAAAGCTAGAGGCTGCCAAGGGGGACAGGACAGAGCAGCAGCCCCAAGGCCGCTGTGTGGGAAGGGGGGGGCACACAGCCCCGGCTGGAACAGGTAGGAGACCAGGAGACCGTGCTTCTACACCAAGGGACAAGATGGCCCTCAGGGAAGAACCTGACGCCCTGGGAGGCGGAGGCCAGGGCTCCAACTACAGACCAGAGGTTGATCAAGCCCTTTTTCTTTTTGGGAAGTATGTGGGATTTGAACTCAGGGCCTTGCCTGGTGAGCCATGAGCCAGTCAACTCCTGATGGTACAACAGGGAAAGCCCCCCGGGTGGGACAGGACGGGGCAGGGGGGCAGGCTTCAGACCCAGGCCCACCCCTGGCACAAGTCTCCCATGGCAGCAGCGCAGACGCAGCAACCCCACAGGGCGGGTTTTATTCCAGAGTCCACAGGAACACAGAGAGCAAAGGTGGAGCTTGGCGGGCAGAGAGGCCCAGGGCGGCTAGTGCTGCCTGGCCCGCAGGGACTTCCTGCTAGTCCTGGAGACCCCCGCGTCCCTCTCCTTCTCGGGGTCGAAGACTTCTGTGGACAGAGCAGGCGGAACAGGCACCGTGAGGGGCGGGCACTCGAGGTTCTGCAGCATTTCAGCCTCAAGACCCCGGCCCTCGCCGGCGCCCCCTGCCCCGTGGCCCTGGGCCGCGCACCTGGTATCTCGTGGGGCCAGTAGTCGTTGCAGTGGGGGCAGCGAGGCTCGGCCGTGGACTGGAAGTACTTGGCCACGCACGGCAAGTGCATCCTGATGCCGCACGTCTCGCAGCTTTGTCCCTGAAACGAGAGGACGAGGAGCTGACACGCACCTCCCACCCGGCACACCTCGGAGCAGCTCCCGCAAGCGTCCCACACCATAGCGAGGCCTCCCCGCACATGGAAGCCAGGCCACCTGGCCTGCCCGCACAGTGCTGGAGACACACTGGGGTGGTTATGAAGTGAGTTGTTAAAAGAAGGAAACAGGGCTGGGACTATGGCTTAGTGGTAGAGCACTTGCCTAGCATGCATGAAGCCCTGGGTTCCATTCCTCAATACCACATACACAGAAAAAGCCAGAAGTGGTGCTGTGGCTCAAGTAGTAGAGTGCTAGCCTTGAGCAAAAGAAGCTCAGGGACAGTGCCCAGGCCCTGAGTTCAAGCCCAGGCCTGTCAAAAAACAAAAACAAAAAAGGAAACAAATGTCCAGCTCCAGCCAGATGGCTGTGACCCCTAAAAGCAGGGCAGAGGGGCGTGACAAAAACACCAGTGGGCCCAGGAAGACATTCACAAGAACGCCTAGGTAACAAGTTATGTGCTGCAAGACCTGTGGGAGGCTGTGGAGAGGGGCGAGGCCACGCCCTCCGCAGAGGCAGTGCCCTCTGCCCTCTGGGGCACCCGGAGGAGGCCCCGCCCCCGCAGGCACCTGGATGAGGAGGCCGCGGCAGATGTTGCAGGTCTTCACGGCGTCGGGGTGCGTCTCACGGATGTACTGCTCCATCTCCAGGATGGCGCGGCTGTGCAGGGTGAACTCACCTTCCTTCTGTGGGCGCAGAACCAGCCATGCCCCGTGTTCAGCACCACGCTCCCCGCCAGTCCCCAGCCCCACACCCAAAACACACCAGTGTGCGCTCTACCACAGCCCCAGACAACCAACGAGAGAAACTGAGGCAGAGCCCGAGACGGCAGCTGGGGACGCCCTGCTTCCAGACCTCAGCCCCTGGCTGTGCCTTCTGTGATGGGAGACCTCCATCTGCACAGGGCCTGGGCAAGGAGGCAGCCCCCCCCCGGGAACCCCAACACCCGCTGCACCCAACCTCTTGGGCAGCACTCGGCACAAAAGCAGCGTGGGGCTGTGAGGGAGCCACCTAGGCCAGGGGACAGCTGGAAGAGGCCATGCTGGGAAAGGACCAAAAGCCTCTCCCACACTGGGCAGGGCTCTGCCAGGAGCCAGCACCCCCTCCCCCCCCAGTGACCCTTGTGTTTCTGTCCCGCTCACCAGAGCTGGAGAAGCCAGCCCCTTACCCAGGGGGGAATGACCCCAGGAGGTGACTCTCCTTCCTGCTCCTCTCCTCTCTCCTCCCTCAAGCCCAGTGACGTGTGGAACACACCCAGGTCAGGCACTGGATCCACACTCAGAACTAGGCGCCCTGCCATGAGTGCTCAGTTCATAAACCCTGGAACCCAAAAGCCTGGGGGAGTTGTCAGCTGAGCCACTAATGCCGGTGGCATCTAGGACCCAAGTCCTTCTCTCGGGGCCACTGAGGGCCTCACAGCAGGTAAGGGACCCACCCACAGGGGTCAGCTGCACAAAACGTGGGGGAGAGGGCTGCGAAGTGAGCCTAGCTCCAGAGCACATACCTCAATCAGCCACTTGTTCTGCACAAACTTCTGCAGCACCTGCTCCGCCTCCTTCTTCCTCATCTTCTTACCTTTCAGCTGATCCACCAGGTTCAAAATGTTGGTGGAAGAAGCAAAGCCGCTTTCTGAGTCAATGATCAGCTCCAGCTGGAAGAGGGGGTGGCGGGTGCGTGGCTCGTGACAGGGACGTCGGCGAAGCGGGGCAGCCAGCACGGGGCTGCCCACGCCGACGGGACTCGGCCGCTCCTCCGCCCGTCCCCAGCACCTCCGCCCCCACGAGGGGCACCGGGCACCGGCGGGTTCCTGTTCTCATGACACCCGGCCAGTGGGCGACAGGAGTTCCTATACTTACGGCCTTCCTAAAGAGATCCAGCTCATTCTCAGCAAAATCGGTGGCCATTTTGGAAACAGAAGTTGTAGCAAGATTGACCTAAAAAGTGAAGTGCTCACAGTGCTCAGGGTGGGCCCTTCGTGAGGAGTTAATTCTCATACAGACTCCCCCAACCCCGCCCCAAGCACAAGAGGCCTCCATCCAGCAGCTCGGCTGTAGCGCCTGAGCACACCACTGGAGGGCGCTGCCTCACCCTTACCAGCGCATAAATGGGCCTCCCGTCATCTTCCGTGACGCCTTTCTTGATCTCTATGTACAAGGACTCCAGGACGCTGTTGATGGTGTTGATGAAATCCTCCAGCTTCTCCACGGGAGCGTTGCCTGGAAATAAACAGGCACAATGGTGGAGCCTCCACACAAAGGCCAGGCTGGGTCACTGCCACTCCACAGCCACCCAGCCCCACCAGGGCCCCGGGCTGCCCTGCTATGTCCAGAGTCGAGCTGAGGCCTACTGAGGTTGGAGGGACACAGAAGGCCCAGGGGACCCCTGAAGGGGGGGGTGGGACCAGGGGGGTCTGCAAGCCCCACCCTCACCTGTGCGGCCCTGGATGAGCCCCCTCTGCCTGAGGGCCACGGTCCACCACGCCTGCCTGCGCACCTCCAACCTCGCGTGTCCACTCCCTTCCAGAAGTCCCAGCCTCGTTCTGGCCGCCCTGCTCCGGCCCCACTCCCTCACGCACAAAGACCAAGGCTGTGCTTCTGAGGGGGCTATTCCAGCCCTGGAAACCCCGGAGGGGCCCCCAGAGAGGCCATCGCTCACCCTGCTCGCCTCCCAGCACCCCCGGCCTGCCTGCTGAGACCCACAGCTGCACCAGGCAGGCTCCCCAGCCTGGAGAGCCAGGGCCTGACCCTGCCCTCACTCCTGGGGAGCAGGGCGCCCTCACCAGGGCAGTGGGCGCCCGTCTAGCCGGGGCTGGTGATGTTGACGGCGTGCATGCCTGCCGTGCCCGCCTGGTAGGCAGGGCGTCTGTCTCTCGCCACTCACCGCTGGCTGCGCTCCATCATGACAAGAGTTCTCCGCAAGGAGAGTTATTAACGTCCTGTCTATACACAACAGGCGCAGGGAGATAAAGTAACTTGCTTGGAGTTTCCCTAACTTGGACACCGAGCCTGGGCCTGCCTGACTCCAGATCCCCAGTCCTGGGAACGTGCCGCACAGGCTCCTGCGGAGCAAGCCCAAGCTCATTCCACACACTGGATGCCAGGACCGTCACCTCCGCACCTGCAGCTTTGTCCCCAGCAAACACTCCAGGGAGGGGAGGGGAGGGGAGGGGAGGGGAGGGGGGCGGGGGATGGGGAGGGGCCTGTGCTCCATCCCATGGGCTGAAGCACATGATGGATGGACTGGGCAGTTAAGGATGAGCCTCAGCCAGGCCTTTTCTCCAGTTCAACACGCTGCTCCTTCTACTGAGGATGTATTTTCTCCTTTTGTCTTAGATACCAATGTTACTTAATCTGGCCACATCGGGGGCCCCCATGCCCCAAGGCTGCCCAGAGCTGCCCGGGGGCTCGCTGCACACGTGAGCGACTGGCACTCAGTCAGGAAGTCTGCTGCCTGGGCGCTGCCCAACTGTTTTGTTCTAAAGCAGCCACCCAAGATGGAAAGTGTTATTTTTAGGCAGAAAACAAGAACAAAAATAAGCCCGAGGGTCCCCACCACCATGGGCCAACTCATGGGGCTTCAGCACTCTCATCTAGGGGTACAGGGCCCAGTTGAGATGGAGAGCCACAGAGGGAGCCAGCCAGGCCCTGGGCTGGACTGAAGAGCAGGTCCCTGGGTGGTCTGGGGGCAGAGGGCGCAGGGAGCCCCCGGGGTCCTGTCAGTTCCAGCTCTCAGCAGACGCCTGGGGGAATGGTGGTCTTGAACTGGCAAAGGCCAGAGGCTGGTGGCTAGGGGCGGGGCAGGGCATGGGTTCTAGCCACCCTCAGACAAGCTGGGAAGGCGTTCGGCTCTTAGGACACTGAGGCAGGAAGGGGCAGGTCTCGCCCAAGATCACAGGATCGCCAAGGAACAGTCTGGGCCAGCAGCTGGCACGGGGCCATGAGTTGGACACAGTGACCAGGAAGGCTTCCGTGGACAGGCGGTCGTGTCTGAGAAGTGGGCAGCGTGCCGTGGTGAGAGGCAGATCAGCTCACCGGCACCACACTGGCTGATGGGCTGTAGGGCCCCCGCGGGCCTCTCCTCTCTTTGGACAGTGGACTTTTCCATCATGCGGGGCTGACTGGCCGGCTCGGCCCGCAGGGGGTGGGGGATCAGGAAGGAGGGAAGCGAGGACAGAGGGACTGGGGCAGGGAGGAGAAGCCTCTCCACAAATGGCACTTGCAAGCACACAGACACCAGGGCAGGGAGAGGGCACTCGGGGCAGCACTGTTGGGGGAGGCGTGGCACATGCCACTCGTGGGTGTGCAGTAACCCCGGTGGACACTGACCCGGTAGAGGCCTGTGTCCAGCCCTATCCATCACCAGTCCTGTTGACTGGCTCACGGAGCCACGTCCCCCTGAATCATCAGGGAACAGGTCAGCTGCTCTCAGCAGATCCCAGCTACTGGCACGGCTGGTATGCACTGCCCTTTGATCGAACACATGACCAGTGATCATAGAGGAGGTGACCCGTACCCCAGCCTCCCGAAGGGCTCCGTGACCCCTGACCACCCCTCTGGTGCCCTCCTGAGGCCAATGGGAGCTGTGCAGGGGAGACGGAGGTGGCTGGCGCCCTGCGCAAGTGCCATCTCCTGGTCAGAGCACAGACACTGCCCACTGCGGCTGCTCGGGCCCTGCACGGCACCGCTGCTCTGGGAAACCTCGCTGCCCACCAAAGGCCTCCCATGAGGGCTCCACAGGGGGTTGTAAAGCAGTGTACAGCTCTCCCGCTGCAGGGCCTGGGGCAGCTGGAGGGCAGGTCTCTGACCACCACACGGGCTGCTGCTGGCCAGGCACGGAGCAGCTGGAGGGAGCAGATGACCACGCTAATCCTACCACTGCACCTCAAGGAAGGTCGCACGCAGCTCTAGCAAACTTGGCCCCGACTCCAGGGGCTGGCTTCCCCCGTAATGGCAGCTTCCAGAAAGCAGTAGGCAGGCCCACCTCCAACCAGCAACCTCCAACCCTGCAAAGGACCACCACACCTGAGCCTTCTCTGTCCTGCTCCCAAACCAGCCTGCACCTCCAGCCAGACACCAGGACAGAGCTGCCCGGTGCTGACCAAGTCAGACTAGGCATCTGGCTCCTCCTGTACTTTATCAGGACCCAGATCGGGGTTGGTGCCCAGTCGTATGCCCCTCTCCTGTCCTAGAGATCACTCCAGCTGGCTACATCTGTGCTGTCCAGTGGCCCTAGTCCTCTTCTGAGCCCACACACCACCCTGCACCCCAAGTGTGAGCTGGCCTCCCAGGCTCTGCGCCCCCTCCCACCCCTCCATCTCCTGGGTGAAGCCAGCTACTCAATGCCCTGTGCTGCTCATTTGCATTGCCTTAACGCGTAACATTAAGGAAGATTTTCATTGCTTATGTGCGATCTGCAAAAACTTGCTGGAATTATCTCCTTAAACTTCCTCTATTTTTAAAAATCAGGTTGTATGTTTTCTTCCTGTTGTCTTTTTAGAGTGCTCTATGTTTGGATATGAGCCATTTATCATGGACACGATTTGCAAATATTTTCCCCACAATTATGTTTCTTTTCATTCTAAAAAGTGAGCCAGGCACCGGTGGCTCACACCTGTAATCCTAGCTACTCAGGAGGCTGAGATGTGAGGATCGTGGTTCAAAGCTAGTCCGGGCAGGAAAGTCCATGAGACTCTTATCTCCAATAAACCACCAGAAAACTGGAAGTGGTGCTGTGGTTCCAACGGTAGCACACTCACCTTGAGCTGAAGAGTGCAGGGACAGCATCCAAGCCCAAAGTTCAAGCCCCATGACCAACCAAAAAAAAAAAAAAAAGTGTTTTCTTGTCATATGTGTGTGTGTGTGTGTGTATGCGTGCGTGCACACACACACACACACGCTGCTTCTGAGGCTTGAATTCAGGGCCCCTAACGCTGAAGGATGGTGCTCAAAGATGGTGCTTTACCACTTGAGCCACAGTTCTACTTCCAGTTTTGCTGGTTAATTGGAGATAGTCTCACAGACTTTCCTATCTAAGCTGACTTGAACCTTGATCTTCACTTAAGCCTCTCCAGTATCTAGGATGACAGTCATAAGCTTGTAACCCATTTTCTTTAAAAGATCTTAGCTGGGCATTGATGGCTCACAACTCTCCTACTAGGTACTCAGGAGGAGGATCACAATTTGAAGCCAGCCTGGGCAGGAAAGTCTGTGAGATTCTTTTTTTGGGGGGGAGGGGTCCAGTCGGGGGGCCTGAACGCTGTCCCTCAGCTCTTCAGCTCAAGGCTAGCGCTCTACCACTTGAGCCACAGCACCACTTCCGGCTTTTTTTCTTTTTGCTTATGTGGTGCTGAGGAATCGAACCCAGGGCCTCAGGCATGCAAGGCAAACGCTCTACCACTGAGCCACCTCCCCAGCCCTGTCTGTGAGATTCTTATCTCCAACTAACCACCAGAAAACCAGAAGTCGAGCTACGGCTCAAAGTGATGAGTAGTCTTAAGTGAAAGAGCTCAGGGACAGCACCCAAAACCTAAATTCAAGACCCACAACTGACAACAACAACAACAACAACAAAAGGGTTTTGCTATGTTGCCAGGCTGGCCTTGAGCTCAAACAAACTGCTTCAGCCTCCAAGCATACTGCTGGAACTCCAGGCACGCAGCACCGCTTCTGGCTTATATCACTGCGCTTCCAGAGTTTGAAATGTCTTAATCCAACATGTGACACTCCCACTGTATTTGGGTATGGCTTCCCACAGTCAATCAGTGAGGGGGGGCAGAGCATTACAGCACTACCGAGTCCATGAGCACACACTCCCCACACATCTGTCACTGCCTGGCAGCTGTGTCCATCTCTTATCGCCGGTGCATGGGTACAGAAACCCCAGGAAGACACAGCGGCTATCTGTACCATGTGCTATCTGGAGCTACCAGTCCCCCTGGTGGCCTTGGACTGTCCACAGGCAAGGAGTGCTCCTAGACACGGTCTACAGGACTTTCCTAAATAAGATCATAACAGCTTCAAAGGTTAAAAAGAGGCAAAAACACTTTCATTCTGACTCCAGGTACTGAACTGTAAAACTTCCCATCAACCTGGAAGCCCACAATCACTTAACAAGACAAACTAAAAGGAAGCTGGTGAACCCACAGTGCAGATAACCCACACCCTAGATAAGAGTCTTCCCCCAGTGTCTGGAGACCACTCAGAGGCTCTTTATAGACAAGAGCGGCAAGGTGGACAGGGCTCCTGGTCACACTCAGAACAAAGGCAGCAGGCAGCCACAGCTCCGTTATCTACAGCCAGCCAGCTCTGCCAGGCCGCACCAATGACACCGCGTCCTCAGAGGCCTGCGCATTACATGGACAGACTTCCGCCTTTCCCCTCATACATCACATCCTGTCTGGACCTTCCCAAGGTGGGGTGCATCCCAATAAACACAGGGTGCTGGGCTTCTCTGCGCAGGACCCTCCAACTCCCTAACCCGGTCCTGCATGGTGCACGCCCATTCTCCATGGATCTGACTGCGCAGTGCACTGGGACCCTTCTTTATCATCAAGGAACCAGTGCTTCTGGGCTCCACGCTGCCCTCCTCCTCGCCCTCAGCCCTGCTCCACTCCGCCCTGTCCTGCAGACTCCCCACACTCCCACATCCCCTTCCTCACCACTGTCAACTCGGCTCACCTTGCCTGTTTTTGTTCTACAGTTTTCTTTTGAAAAAAAGTACAAAGAGAAAGGCAAAACTATAGAGCAAGAACCTGCCACTTCCCCTGCCCTGCATCAGAACAAAGACGATGCAACAGGCCGAGTCCTCGATCCTCGGTGCTCACTCCCCAGGCCTCGTGCTCAGAGCAAGGACGAGCTCCCGGGAACTCCGACTTCCGGTCTCATTCGCAAGCCCGCCCAGGCTCTACTGCCCTGGCCAATCAGCGGCGACCCCGGCCCTCCGCAGGTTCACCACCGAACCACCACCTCACAGCTTCCGGTCCAAGTCCAAGGTCCTGTCTACGGGGCTGAGAGTGGCCTATGCGGGCAGGGGTGGACGCGGGAAGGCCGCGGGAAGGCCGCGGGTGGGCCGGGGCGGCACTCACGGTCGTGGACCTGGTAGCAGTGCTTCTGCAGGCGCCGCACGTCCCCCTCCTCCAGCACGCCGTGGGTCATCAGCAGCTGCAGGAAGCGCCGGTGCACGTCCGTCATGACGCTGTCGCCCGGGACGCCCGCGCGCCG